GAGAGGGAGGGAGGGAGGGAGGAAGGAAGGAAGGGAGGAAGGAAAGGAGGGAGGGGAGGAAGGGAGGGAGGGAGGGAGGGGAGGAAGGGAGGGAGGGAGGGGAGGAAGGGAGGGAGGGAGGGAGGGGAGGACGGGAGGGAGAGAGGGAGAGGAGGAAGGGAGGAAGGGAGGGAGGGAGAGAGGGAGGGGGGAGGAAGGGAGGGAAGGGAGGGAGGGAGAGAGAGAGAGGGAGGGGAGGAAGGGAGGGAGAGAAGGAAAAGAAAAAGAAAGGAATGCAGCCCATGCACACTTTCATTCCAGCCTAGAGACACCTGCATGAGCTGAGCTTCCTGAATTACCAAACTGTTATAACAAAGTTGTGCTGCTTTAAGCAAAAAGAAGAAGGAAAAGCAGTCAGAACCCAATATCCTTTCTCCCATCAGTTAGAGCCACATAAACCATCCTAATCCTGTAACAGATGGCAGTTTACTCTGGAGAAAAGGGCACAGAAAGACTTCACATTCAGGGACTCCAGAAAAAGCTGAACAGGCTTTTAGATCTACCCATTACAGGTGTGGATGGTGAGACCGTGGCTTTCCCTGCTTGGTTCCCCCAAATCCTCTCAGGCAGGCTTAATCCCCACAAAAAGGTAAACAGAGGAATGTTTTTTGGAGAAAGTAAAATATCCAAGGGGGAAAAAAATGTCCAGATTCTGATGAATAGGAGTCACCCACTAATAAACAAGTCCCTGCCCAAGAACTACAGGGAAGCCCTCCAGGTAACGAAGTTTCCAGTCTATTTTCTATTGTCTCCTTCTTAAATATGAACAGAAAACTCAATTCTCACCATTTATTTCAGAAAAAAATCTTTGACATTAAAGGCAGGGATCAAACAACCAGATAAAAAAGGGGGACATACAGAAAAATTTTGCAGAGAAAACCAGCAAAATAATACAATTCATATTCTCAAAGGAAAGGAGAAAACATGTAAAGTATAAAACAAAAGCTCTAAATTCTACTTTTTAAAAGTAAATATTCAGAGGCCCTCAAAAATTAAATTCAAAATTACAAGCATGCTAGCTGAAATTAAAAACTCAATAGATACCAAGAAAACCTCTCAGAAAGTAGAATAACACAGAGAGATGGAAAATAACAAAGAAAAAGACAAAAGAAAATTAAAAGATCAATCAATACATTAGTCTAAAATTTAACAGAAATCAATAAATGGCACTTAAAACATGCTATGTTGTTTAGAAATAGGTAAGTGACTATCAAAAATACTAAACTCTAATAATTAAGATTCCAATGTCAAATATGTATATCAAAAAATTGAAAGAAAATTATTCTAGGGTAGGAAAGCATTAGTTACGATATTTTATTTTGTAAAAAAACACGATTGTTTAATATACATATATAATTAATTAAATGACAGAAATATATGCTTGACCATTTCAGTTTTATCCCCCACTTATTTCTCATATTTTCAAATTGGTCACAAACAACGGTTTGTTTAGATCTTCTCAATGTAAATATACAGATAATATTAAACTAGGCATAAAAGATACATAAAGAAGTCTAAAACTCCATTTACCTGAATCACGTTGTTACTTTTCTTCATCAGACTTCCTTATGATCTAGGAGGAAATTAAATATATTAAAGTTCATTCTTCATATAATGAACTGCTCATAAGAAAAAAAACCCAGTCAAGATAATTACTATTCACTTCTTATTATCCATCCATAGGGAGAAAATGTCCTTACCCACTTCCCAGCTTACTTTTGGCTGTCATGAAATTCAGAGTAACCTGCAATTAGGCAAAACCAAGCAGAAGCAGGAATGTAAATCCAACACCAATAAAACATCATACACCAAGTGCATCCAATAGGACAGTGTGAATTTTTTAATCATGTGCCTTCATAAATTAACCCTTCTCTATTTAGGCAAATAAGCACTAATATACTATAAGGAGAACAATAAACTAGGAAGCATATTATTCAAACTATAAGAATTACAACTCTGGGGGCTGGGGTTGTGGCTCAGTGGTAGAGTGCTCGCCTAGCATGCATGAGGCACTGAGTTGGATCCTCAGTACGACATAAAAAAATAAAATAAAGATACTGTATCCACCTAAAATTTAAAAATAAATACTTAAATTAAAAAAAAAAAAAAAAAGAATTACAACTCTGGCCAAGAGCAGTGGCACATGCTTGTAATCCCAGCAGCTCTGGAGGCTGAAGGAAGAGGATTACAAGTTCAAGGCCAGGCTCAGCAACTTAGGGAGCCCTAAGCAATGTAGCAAACCCTGTCTCAAAAAATAAAAAGGGCTAGGGATGTAGCTGAGTGGTAAAGCGCATCTGGGTTCAATTCCAAATACCCAAAAAAGAACTACAACTCTGAAATAGAAAGGGGTAACAAAATGTTTAAATTTTCATTTCTACAAAAATGCAATCAATAGCAAGCTAAGTGGAACAACTCAGACCGTGTCCACAGGTGTATGGTCGAAAAATTTATACACAGACTTCAATCCTTCAATCACACTAAAGGATTAAAACTGCTTCTTCATTTCATTTCATGAAAGACTTTCACATGTGAATTACAGTACTATATAAAAGGGAAAAGATACATTTTTAATAAACATTTTTATTAGATTACATTCATAAAGAAAATCCAAAATTCTGCTAAAGTGAACTGTTGTGGTTTGGATGTGAGGTCTCCCCCAAAAGCTGACATGTGAGACAATGCAAGAAGGTTCAGAGGAGAAATCATTGGGTTGTGAGAGTCTTAACCTAATCAGTGAATTAATCTCTTGATAGGGATGAACTGGATGGTAACTGAAGTCACAGGGTGTGGTTGGAGGAAGTGGTTCTTTGGGGGCGTATATTTCTATCTGGCAAGTGGCGACCTCTCCCTCTGCTTCCTGATCATCACATGGGCTGCTTCCCTCTGGCACACTTCCACCATGATGTTCTGCCTCACCCCAAGCACAGAGGAATGGAGCCTGCTGTCTGTGGACTGAGACCTCTGAAACCATGAGTCCTTAAATAAACTTTTCCTCCTCTACAATTGTTCTGGTTGGATCCTTTTAGTCACAGCAGCAAAAAAAAAAAAAAAAAGCTGACTAAAACATGAACATACAATAGCCACTACTCTTCCAAAAGGTCAATATTGCCCTGACTTCAAACACCACATAGTAGTCTTGCCTGCTATTGAGGTTATTAGGGATCATTATTATTCAGGGATCTATCTAGCAGTCTAAGAATCTCTGTACCTGGATCAAAATAAAATGCTTTAGGGAGAGAAAAGTAGGATAGCTCCAAGGTGATATTATTTCAGAAAAATGCTCCCATGTCTAAGGAAGGTGTTTTGGCTGGTCGGTTGCTTGTTTGAGGTCAACCTGCAAGTTCTCCAGAGACTGCAGGGCAAAGAAACAGTTTTATGGGAGAAATAGAAAGAAAAGGGTCTTCCTGATGTCCAGAATGAATGTTCTGCTGTGCCCAAGACTTGATAAGGCAAGGATGGAGGGGATAAAGGAAAGAGCCAGAAGGGGTTTGGCATTCTTTCTACAGATGCAAAAACAACTATCAAGTAAAGATAATAACCTATCTTGTCTGTGCCAGAAGCTAGACCAAGATACTAATGTAGCAACCTGCTTGACCCTCCAATTCCTTTGAAAACTGTTTCACTCCCTGTTGGGTGTGTGGGAGACCTTGCTTTTTGGTTTTATTTCACCCATCGGGTTTCTCCCCAATTAAGTACATCACATAATCCCTTACCCCTCCACCTCCTCTCCAAAGGGCACCAAAGTCAAAAGTTTTCTCAACTAATACCATGGGACACAGTGTCCACTCGCCGGTCACCCTGCCAATCAGCACCCACCACATCGCCAAAGCAACCCTTGTTAAACTGAAGGTTACAGACTCATACTGCTGCTTCTTCCTCTCCTTTCTTCCCTTTCAGGCAGCTCCCCAATAAAATCTCTTGGTTGAATTTCCATCTCAGGTGAATCACTCGCCTTTCAATCCCCCAGTCTACAGATAACAACTGTCTCAAAACAGCAGTACAGGGGCCGGGGTTGTGGCTCAAGTGGTAGAGCGTTCGCCTAGCAAGTGTGAGGCACTGGGTTTGATCCTCGGCACCACATAAAAATAAAATAAAGCTATTGTGTCCACCTAACACTAAAAAATAAATTTAAAAAAAAGCAGGACTGTGTATGAACTCAAAAATGTCAGTAGGTGAGGCAAAGCTATTCCTCTTTCAAGATTTTATGCAGGGCTAGAGTCTACATAAACAGAAAGGGAAGTGTTCTCAGAAACAAAGCCACATGATTAGATACAGAACATGTTGTCTTGGTCCTGCCCATGAATCATTTAAAGAAAAAGAATCAGTTATGCAGGATCCAAAACGTCATCTGAATTCCAAAAACCAAATGGTTCTGTCACCCATAGAGTAAGTCCAGTTATCTTTCTGTACCTCCAAGAAGGGTTTCCACAGGAACCCATACACTCCCAAGGTATAATCTTCTGAAACATTAACTGGTTTTATTGCACTATACATTTTCCCTCTGCAACAGGAGACACTAAAAGAACATGATGGCCCTCAGAGATAGTCACAAATGCAGAGAGGCAAATTACCACCAGAGTTATTGAAAACGCCACCTTCCACCAACATGACAAACCCACAAGGCTATTTAATTTCCATCATAAGTACTTTCAAAAAGCAGGGCCAAAATGGGAACGCAATTCAAAAAGGGAACTTTCCATTCTGCCCTTGACAGAGAGAGAGAGAGAGAGTAAAATAAGACAAATATATCTTATTTAAAGACAACAGGACACATCAAAGACATTTAGCTGTCAATAAGGTTTTCCTGTATTCTCATTGGTAAATACAAAATAGTATCTCAGTGACAACAACTATGACTGTCAGGAGTCATCAAATACCTCTCCATGTAGTCCTACAAGAATACTGGGGGAGGGAGTGAAAAGGTTGAAACCCCAACTCAATCAGACACACACACTAGGCTCAAAGATGATATAACATGTCTAAGATAAAAAATCAAGGTTGCACTTTGAGAAGGTGGGACAGGGTTCCAAATCAAGTCTGACAAATTCCTTCAGGGTACAATGTTGTACAAGTAAGTCAGTTCTGACTTAATGATGAATGTACTGGAATGTTCTCCTCAATTTCAAAGCATTTAGTGGTCCTTTCACTATTTTCTAGTTCCAAATTGTTTCTGCGATCATCACAAGTAAAGGATATTGACATCCCTTCCTTCTGTGAAGTGGAAGAAGTATTTTCTTAGCAAGTGGCTTGAGGACAGGGAACAAAAATAGGCCTTATAGATTAGATAACTGCTAAAGCAGCTGAGAGCACTCTGGTGATCTTCCATATATGGGATCTAGCACAGGGAATGCATAGTGAAAGCTGCGGGCTTGCTTTTCAATGGATACATTTCGTGAAGATAAAAGTTTTTTCAAGGACTGTATGAATGAGCAAGTTAACTATGCATACCATGCATGATAGAGCTTCTGGGGAAAAAAAACATCCTAAATTAGAAGGCCATAGCTCTAAAGTTTCAATCAGGACTGAGTAAAAAGTGAGGTGAAAATCTTTGTAGACATAAATGCAATGACATTCAGAAGAATACTGATGGAGGGACAGGGCACAATCTGGTGCCCTTCTCCTAATCTGAAAAAAAATCTGGCGTAGCAATCTTTGAATTTCTATGTGTTTATTACTGGTGACTTGCTTTCAAGAAAAACACACTGGAGTAGAAGTTTCCAAGGGTAAAAATGAATGGGCTTAAGCACCAAGGCTGAGGAAAGAAAAGATTAAAGTTCCCAACATTCTACAAAGCACTGGCAAATTCCCATTTTACAAATTTGCATCTGGAGGGCCAGCCCTTTCGATGCTGATTACTTCCTCTTAAATGATGGAGGGCAAAAGTTTCATCTTAGAGGTCAACATGACTGATTGAAGCAGGCATGCTTCATTTTTGACAGCCATGTCCCGACCTAGTTATTATAGTTCAGTTACTTCTTCTCAGGGGAAGATGGCATGTAATTAGACATGAATAATACCAAGAGACCAGTAACAGCACAAGATCAATTTAATAATATTTTTCCATTAAAACTGTACTTTATTAGAATAATAAAACACACTGAAAACCTTCTCATTCTTACTTATAAACAGAGTGTTATGCAAATTAGAGCCTGACTCAAAAGAATATAAAATCTAAGGTACAAAGCTGGTGTTTTCTTCTTTTATACAAAGCTTGCATCTTCTTCCTTTAATGTCTAACTCTTAGTAAAGACAGTTTCATTGATCCATCCCTTCCTTTCCTCTGCTTGGAGAAGAACATTGACTATCTGGCGAGTCACTGGAAAGCCTTGGGCATGGTCTCAGCTTTGGGAACTGAAAGTTGCAGTCTCTTGCCAGAGTCACCCAGGAGGCTTCCTCTTGCTGGCAGCTGGTTCCAACTCTCCTCACAAAGGAGAATGACTTTCCATTACCCTCAAGGAAAGCCTAAATCTGTCCTTCACTCTGCTGCATTCTTACTTTTTCCAGATTCAAAGAATAATACAAGGAAAAAGTTGGATGTCTTCTCCCAGCCCTTCCTCAAGCCTGCCGGAACTT